TTTTTTTTTTTTCCGCCCCCCACCCCCCCCCGCGGGGTTATTTTTTTTAAGGGGCCCGGGTTTTTTTCCCCGGGGGCGGTGTGGGCGCCCCAAAAATTTTTTGAAAAAAATTTTGGGGGGGGGGAAAAAAAAAAAATTTCCGGGGAATCCTACTTTTTTTTCATTCCTATTTTTCCCCCCCCCCCCCCCCCCCCCCCACCTTCCCCTTTCCAACATGGCGCCCTCGCCCCACCTCCAGGTTTGGAGGCCTCAACGGCCAGGACGGCCCCGAGGCTAGCACAGTCTACCTGCACTGGCCGGTGCGCCATCCCTCCCGCACCTGCAGAGTACCGAACCCAGCGCGGGTTCAGGTTTCGTGGGTGGTGCGGTAGGTCTTCGTCAACGCGCAGTGGGACCACCTCGTCCTCGTGCCAAAGGTATTATTATTATTATTATCATTATTATCATCATCATTATTATTATTATTACACCACCTCGTCCACGTGCCAAAGGCGCGGGGCGACTTCTTGATGAAGGACATCGTGTCGATCGAGGCGCGCGCGGCTCGAGCCTACCACACCACCCACGGGACGGAACCCACCCCACCGGATTCGACCACTCTGGAGGTGCGGTACTAGGCGCGGGACGTCGACCTGTTCTCCGAGCAGCTCGACGCCGCGGCGGTCGGCAACCTCGGCAGCGTGCGCGCCGACACCGACATCGAGATCGACCGCTCGCGCCTCGGCCAGGAGCGCGAGCTGGTCGCCGCGACGGCCTGGCTGGGCGGCGGCGAAGGTGGCGTCGGAGGCATCGATGGCGGCGGGGGGGCGGGGCACGAGAAGTACCGGCCGGGGTGGGACCAGTTCTCGGTCAACGAGCGCCTCACAGGCGTGCGCTCCGACTACAGCGAGGAGCTCTACACGACAAAGTTGGAGCTCGGCACGCCCTCGAGGGAGCAGCGGCAGGAAGTGGCGAGGAAGTGGCTAGGAGGTGGCTGGGAAGTGTCTAGGCTCGTACTCGAGGGAGCAGCGGCAGCGCGCGGCGCGGCTGGCGCGCGAGATCGAGACCAAGGCGACGGGCGGCGCGCGTTTCGGCATCTGACGCCGTCTTCTTAGAATGAAGAAAGGGTTGGTAGGCGACGGACAACGTGCACGTCGCGGAGGAGCGCGGGCAGAGGCCGGTCGGAGAGGACATGGACGAGGTGGGACACTTCCGAGACACTTCCGAGACGCTTCCTAGACATTTCCTAGACGCGACACTTCCTAGACGCCTCTTAGACACACGTCCTGACACTTCACAGACGCTTCCTAGACGCTTCCTAGACACACTTCCTCGACACCACCGGCCTGCAGACCTAGACGCTTGCTAGACGCTTGCTAGACACTTCCTAGACGCTTGCTAGACACTTGCTAGACACCACCGGCCTCCTAGACACTTCCGAGACATGGACGAGGCTGAACACGTGCCGCGGTCTCTGTGCACAGTCGAGAGAGTGTGCATCATCGCCCGCTTGTGAGTCCCCTCAGGAAGACAAGTACTCTGGAAATGTCTAGGAAATGTCTAGGAAATGTCTAGGAAATGTCTTCGTGAGTCCCCTCAGGAAGACAAGTACTCCACCGTGCTGCAGACGGGGCGGGCCGGGGAGACGCCTCGACCGCGGCCTCCGCCCGCCCCCGCCGACAGCGCGGCGGGCAGCGCGGCGGCGGCGGCGGCCGGGGGGGCGGCCGGGGGGGCGGCAGCGGCGGGGGCGGCAGCGGCGGGGGCGGCGGCGGCGGCGGGTGGCGCGGGCGTGGGAGGAGCGGGCGCGGGAGGCGAGGCGGGCGGCGGAGCGGGCGGTGTGATCCCCGCGTCCGAGTCAAAGCTGCGGGCGGGCGCCAAGGAGTTCAAGATGAGCGCGACGGCAAAGGAGCGAGTGTCGCCGAGAGTCGGCCGAGAGCAGGGCGAGAGGCGGGTTGCGACGCACCCCAGCGCCGCCCCCGCAGCCCACTCTGCGCGGGAGTTGACGCCCGGAGGGGTCGCGGGCATGGCACTTTTGCGCAGCCATGAGCCATTCCTTGTTACTGAGTAGGAGTTCAAGCCGGGAGGGCTGGGAGGGCTGGGAGGGCTGGGAGGGTTGGGAGGCATGGCGTCCGGCGCGACCTCTGCGCCTGCGTCGGGGGGCGGAGGCGGCATCTACGGCGCTGCGGGCGGCGGCGGCTACGGCATGCATCAGGTGCCGCTGGCGCAGCAGCAGATGGGGATGATACGGCCTGGCATGGCGCCGCCGCAGCAGCCGCAGATGCAGCAGCCGCAGCAGCAGCAGATGGCCATGTACGGCGGGTACGGCCCCGGTATGGGAGGCATGGCGGCGGTCGGGATGGGGTCGCCGATGCAGGCGGGCGCGGCGATGGGAGGGTACATGCACGGGGCGCCCGCGCCGATGGCGGCGCAACCGCCGATGCACATGCCGTCGGGTGGCATGTCGGCGCGCGGGCCGGGCGGCGCTGTGATGCTGCAGCCGAGGCCGCTGCTGGTGGGGCAGTTGCCTCTGGCGCAGCACGGCGGCATGGTGGCGCAGAGGCCGATGGGGTACCCGCAGGGGGGCATGGTCCCTCACCAGGGCAGCGCTGCGGCTGGCGGGGCCGGTCCCCTTCCTGCGTGAGGGTCCTCTCCAGCCATCCTGCCAGTGGTGTAGGCATGCTGCAGCTGGCGGGGCCGGGCGGCGGGGTGGGGCCGGTGCAGGCGGCAGGCGGCCCGCCGCGAGGCGAGGGGTAGATGCGAGAAGCCGTACGAGTCTCGTTGCGAAACGGGTCACATCCTCGCCACACCCTCTCCCCTCCTCTCCCCCTCCTCGCCCCTCCCCTCCTCTCCCCTCCCCTCCTCTCCCCTCCTCTCCCCTCCCCTCCCCTCCCCTCCCCTCCCCTCCCCTCCTCTCCCCTCCCCTCCCCTCCCCTCCCCTCCCCTCCCCTCCCCTCCCCTCCCTGCCTCTGCCCCTCGCACTCCCTCTCGCAGGCATGGCGCCGCCCGCGGTCGGCTCGCCGCCTAGTAATCAACATCTGATTAATACTTCACAGGCATGGCGCCGCCCGTGATGGGCTCGCCGCCGGGCGCCGCCCCCGTCAACGGAGGGATGCGATCTGGCTCGCCCTACCGCATGCCCGCCCAGGCCGGCACTCCCTAGACACTTCCGAGACACTTCCTAGACACTTCTCGGAGGGGTGCGACCCGCGTCGCCCTGCCGCATGCCCGCGCCCGCGTGACCTCGCGCAATCTCGCGCAATCTCGCGCAATCTCGCGCAATCTCGCGCAATCTCGCGCAATCTCGCGCAATCTCGCGCAATCTCGCGCCACAGCTCGTGCCGCATCCCGCCCCCCCCCCCCTTTCAGGTGCTGATGCCGGGAGGAGGATTCCCCTCCCCGCCCAGGCCAGGCTTCGGAGTGCCGCGCTGAGCCAACCACCTGCGGTGGCGGGGGAGGCGCGTCCACGGCCGTTGCGGACGCCGCCTATTACCAACACTTTGGCGGTTGCTCCGGCTGTCCGGCTGGTGGTGCGGCTCAGCAGTCTCGTGTGTCCGACCGTACGCTGAACACGCGCGCATTGCTCGCCCGTCGCCTGCCGCCGCCGCGGAGAGTTTTCGCTACACACTCTGTTGGTCGAGTTTTCGCGCGAAACTGTTCCTCACCCCACTTGGAGCACTTGGAGTGCAGTCAGCAACCTCACATATCCAGGGCCGGGGAGCTAAGAAGCGCGCACCCAGCGGGCCGGATGAAGGGATGATCGGCATCGGGCTACGGGCTAGAGAGCCCTGACCCCTGGGGGGGTGCGCGTTCGCAGGGCCATAACACGTCTCCGAGGCCAGCCCTCATTTTTTGTCGCACTGCCTCTCGCACGCGTGCACATTCTGCGACCAAACTGCTCTATTACTAGAGTATCATATAACAGTACTCATTAGAGCATAGAGGACTCTGGGGGGCCGCGGGGGGCCCTAGAGGGTACCCATGCGGGGGGGAGATGGGGTCCCACGGCCCGCCGCAGGCGCCGATTTTTTGGAGATTTTTTCTTTTTTGGCGATTTTTTACTTGTTTTCATGGGAATTCGGCGTATTGCGGCCATGCTATCACGCCTTGCGACAGCCTGTCGGCGCTGCTGACCGTGCCCTGCTGCACAATTGATCACCTGCATAGCTCGCAGCCTTAGTATCAAGCATTCAGTGACGACCTGATCGTACGGTCAGTAGGAAGGTGTCCTTCCAACGTGTGCACGCTTCTGGCGCAATGCGCGTCGCCTCGGATTGGCTGCTTACACGTGTCGGTGGTCATTTTTGACCCACTTTCCGGGGTTTGCCGGGTAGGAGCCGGAACCCTGGGGGAAGTGGCAACTCCGTGCACTGACGGTCGGCCGTCAGAAAACACGCCTCCGTGGCTCGGGTTACACCAATCCTCGCTACCCAACGATTGATTGATTGATGGGAAGGCGAAACACAGTCCGACCAACGACTGGGACACCAACGCGGTATGGGTGGACGCTAGACGGGCGATGACGGTCACACAGGAGCGACACACAGAACCACAAGACAAGACACTCAGCCAAACTGACTGCCACACATCCTGAGCGAACTTCCCTAGTCACCCGCGGCCCGACTCCAACGCGGCCAAAGGATATCCACCTCGAGAACCTCGAGAGAGAGGGGGAAGGGCGCTGTGGCTGGGGAGGCGCAGACTAACACACACACCGGCACTCCACCGGTCGTCGGAGCCGCCTAAGCGACTCCGTTAAACCGCGGCGTGGCGGGTCTCGCCGGCGCCACCTCTCAGCCTCCTCCTCGCCGCCGACTCCGACGCCGCCTGAACACATTATGCGCATCGCGGTCGTTGGCGCCGGCGGCGTAGGCGGCTTCTTTGGTGGCATGCTGGCGCGAACTGCAGGTGCTCAGGTCACTTTCATCGCACGCGCTGGCGCTCACCACTCTGCGATCGTGAAAGACGGGCTCCGCATCGTCAGTGCAGAGCACGGCGACTTCACGCAGAGTGTGCGCGTGGTCGAGGATGCGTCGTCCGTCGGCGCCGTTGACGCGGTGCTGGTGTGCGTCAAGGAGTACAGCCTCGCCGCCGTTGCACCCACACTGACGCCTCTGCTGCATGGAGAGGCCGATGGTGAGCCGACGGCGGTCGTGCCGCTCCTCAACGGGATGGGCGCGCCGGAGGTGCTGGAGGCGGCTCTGGGCGCTCGGGCACGCGTCCTGGGCGGCCTGTGCAAGGTCTTTGCCTGGATCGAGAGGCCGGGCGTCATTGCGCACAAGGGGCCGTCCGACACGGCCGTCCTCTTCGGAGAGCGGTCGGGCGGCGAGCCGGCGCGCAGATTACCCCGAGATTGACCGAGATTGACCGAGATTGCCCGTCATCATCGGGGAGCGGTTGGGAAGTCCGCGCCGTCCTTCCCCGCCGCCTCTCCCCAGCCTCACCGCCAGCCCGCTCGCGCCCTCGCACGCACTCTGCCGCGCGCTTCGCCTGCCACGAGATCGGTCGAGATCAGTCGAGATCGGTCGAGATCGGTCGAGATCGGTCGAGATCGCCGAGGTCAGCCGAGGGGTGGGCGAGGGGTGGGCGAGGGGTGGGCGAGGGGTGGGCGAGGGGTGGGCGAGGGGTGGGCGAGGGGTGGGCGAGGGGTGGGCGAGGGTGGGCGTCTCGTCGCTCTCCCCGCCGCACGCCGCGGCACGTCGCCTCACCGCATCGCTCCCTCGCGCAGCCCCGTGTGCGCGCGCTGGCCGAGCTGTTCGCCAGCGCCGGCGTCGTCTGCAAGGTGCCTGCACGGGAGGAGGGCGGCATCACGTCCGCCATGTGGAGCACGCTGCTGCGGGGTCGCCGCATGGACTCGCCTCGCCTGGACCAGTCACTCTTTGACTGCTTCAGGTGGAGGAAGTTCATCGGGATCGCCGCCTTCTCCGCCGTGGGGGCGGCGACACGCGCGACGCTCGGTGCCCGACTAACCATTTCGTAGCTAACTAGGAACTGATCACTAATTAGCGACGCGTGCGACAGTCGGTGCCCTACTAATCCCTCCCCTTGCACCGCCGCAGTCCCACAGCCGCCCCCCACAGCCGTTCAACAGCCGCCCCACAGCCGCCCCACAGCCGCCCCACAGCCGTCCCCCACAGCCGTCTCCCACAGCCGCCCCACAGCCGCGCCGCCCCGCAGCCGCCCCAGCAGAGCCGGGCAAGGCTCTGCGCCTCGCGGCCGAGGCCCAGCCGCCCTCTCCCCGGGGAATGAAGTCATTAATTAAGGGTTCATCACGGGTTAATTAAGCCCTCTCTCCCCGGCGGCGGAAGGCGAGGTGCTCGGAAGCGAGGACATTAGTTAATTACGGTTCATTACGGCGTGATTAAGCCCTCTCGGCAGGCGAGGTGCTCGCCGAAGCGAGGACGCGCCAGCTCTACGCAGCGCTCCTAGCCGAGGGCGTCGCCGTCGCCACAGCGCACGGTGCGTGGCGCGGCACTCGCCGCCACACGGCACACGCGCCAGCATCCCGACACTGCAGCCACGGCGGTGTCTGCGTTTTGCTGCTCGCTCGCGGCAAGAAGCAGGATGCATGTCGCTTCACCGCTCTTAAACGCCGGCGGGCACCACACAGCTTTGCCAGCGGCAGCACTTTGCAGCCCGTACTTGGCCGGCGCCGGAGTGAGGGGGATGCGGCGCGGCGGCGAGACTCACTGCTCACAGCGGCGGCACTGCATCACGTGCAGGCGTGGGCGGGCTGGACGAGTACGCCGCGGCGCAGGCGTCTCGCGCCGAGTCGCTTCCCAAGGCCAGGGGGCGCCACAGCCTCTCCCCGCAGCTTCTCCCCGCACTCCCCTCGGCACGCTAACCCCCCCCCCCACACACACACACACCCTCGCACCCCCTTCTTCCCCCCCCCCACCCCTCCCACCCCCCCCCCCCCACCCCCCTCCCGCCGCCGCAACAAGGCGAGCACCGCCTCGCTCGCGCGCGACGTGCTCGCCGGCAGGCCGAGTGAGCTCGAGGCGCAGGTCGGCGCGATGGTGAGGTATGCAGAGGGCAAGGGCGTGGCCGCGCCCGCCTTCGCAGCGCTCTACGCCGCGCTCCTCCCGCAGGAGCGCGCCGCCGCGAGGACCGCTGCGGCGGTCGGAGCAAGAGCGCCGCGCTAGAGGTTTCTCCTCCTCTGAACCTCTCTGAACGCGTTTTGTTTGAGTTGAAATTCGCCCTACTGTAAAAACGACGACAGGCCGCCCCCGCAGCCGCTTGCATCCACAACGCGGCTCGCGGACGGCACGATCGGTTGCTCGATCGTCGATGGTTCGAGATGCGCCCCCGCCCCGCGCGGCCGCTCTGCGCCCAGAATCAGTAGGACGTCAGTACGTCAGAGAGGGTTCTCTCCGCCGCGCGCCGCAAGTCACTAATCAGGTTCGGCGACCTGGTGTACGCCCCCCACGGTCCCTCTGGGCTCCGCGACGAAGGTCGCCCGGGACTGGCTCGCCAACGAAGTTCCTGCGCGCCGACGGCTCCGAGGCGGTGCTGCCCAAGCTCCTCCGCCGGCAAGAGCTGGAGCGGATGGAGAAGGAGGGGGGCATCTGCATCTTCCTCACGCCGGAGGAGGCTGTTGCGGCGCTGCGCTCGCTGAGCCGCGAAGTCGCCGGGCTGACTTACGGCTGGGCCTCGCCGGACCACCCCGACGTGACCGGAGAGTATCTGGCGAACGTGCGGCGCTTCCTGCGCCACCCGCTCGGCGAGCACGTGACGGCCCTCTTCTGGGAGTGCGCCGCCGCCCCAGACCCACCCCAGACCTAGTGGCTGCGCTGCGTGGGAGGACAGGCCTTTCCCCTCTGCGCCTATCCCTCACTTGACGCTTCTCTCACACTCTGCCGCCCCCGCCCCCCGTGCGCCCCCCCTCCGCAGCTTCTCTTCGCTCCCGCAAAAGCCAAGGACGGCGGCAGAGGACGAGTTCTTCTATCAAGCCCTCAAGGTCCGCGCCGCCTTCTCCCCGCCGCCCTCTGCGCCCGCCGCGCTTCTACTCCCCACTCTCTCGCCCGCACACATGCCCTTGCTTCTCCTAACGCCTCCCCTCTTCTCGCCCCTCCACAGGTCATGGCGACTATGATGTAACATACTTGACCCCCCCCTTTGGCTCCACGTCTTTTCCTACCAACCCAGAGCCGATCTCGGCGGGGCGTCAGCGCCTCTCGGTGGGGCATCATGAGCTCACGGGGCTGCCCGACGGGGCAGGCCTCGTGCTGATGGACCCAGCCGAGGTGCCCGACCAGTCGGACCCGCGCCGCCGCGCCGCGCGCGACCACCAGCCAGCTTGCCGGCCGGGACGAGCACGGTGCGTAGATCGCGCCGCCACTCTCCGGTCCATCCGGAATTTTGTCGTTTTAGTTAGCACTGCTGCTGCAGACAGGGCCCGCGTGACCCCATGCCCTTCGCATATCTCGTGAGCTGAGGCGTGGCGTCACCCCGGTGACCGCCCACAGGTGGCTGTTCGCGGGCGCGGCGAGCGTGCCGCTTGAGCGGACCAGGCTGAAGCCACCTCAGGACCCCACCTCGAGTCGGTGGCGCCACCCGCGACCCTGCCCGCCTTCGCCGCGCCAGCCGCCGGCTCGCTGCAGCCGCAGCGCGCGGTGCCCGACCACCGGCGCGCCCGCCCGCTCGCCTTCTCGCGCCGCCTCTCGGCGCGCAAAGCCGCTCACACACCGCGTACTCAGCCATCGGCGCGACATCACTCCCGCGCAGGCACCTCGCGACGGGTCGGCGCACTCGAGCGGCTCAACGCAGAACTACGGAGCGACCTCCGCCGCGGCTCGGCCCTGGGCAGCAAAAGGTGCCGCCCCACCACCCGCCTGCCTCTGCCTCTCTCAGCCATGCGACCCCTCCGCCAATGCACACCTCGAACGCGACGTCAGATCCCGCTGCGACTGGCAGCATTCGCGGCGATGAGGCCTCCGCCAGCACACTGATCGTCACAACTCGTCTGTTAAGCTACACGTTTTTGCCCTCTGCAGGTGAGCGGACCGCTGCAGCCGCAGTGGAGCCGCGGGTCGGGCGAGGGAATGGCCTTTTGGCGCGGCGCTGCTATGTGCCTGCGCGCTCATGGCGCGTTCAGGGGTGCGCCTGCGGTGTGTAGACTGCGGGGCGCCGCGATAGCGCGGCGCCGACGATTGTGTCGCTCATTGTCACACCGACGACACGCAGACGACACGGTCACAGTGTGTGTGCAGTGCGTCCACTCCGGCGACCGTGACGCCGTCGGCGCTCGCCTATACCGGCTAGTGTGGAGCTTTCAGTGTGGTTGCGTGTTGTACTAGTGATGCTGCACTAGGCGGCCCGTTTTTAGCAAAAAGCAGATACCACATCGCGTGTGGTCGTCGAAAAACCGCATGTTCGCCCGTCTGGGACCTCTTCGTACGGCTCCAAAAACCGCTCCTTAACGACGACTACGCGGCCCGGCGGTCGATCTGCGCCTTCTCAGCGGTGGAGGGGATGTGGGCGGTACGTGCGGGCCGCGTGCTGCTGCGACGGTTTGACGAGTGCGACTCCCAGCGTCGACTCTGCGACCCCACGGAGCCTCTGCTGCTCCGGGGGGGGGGTCTGCAGACCACCCGGCCGAACTTCAGAGTCGTGGCGCTCCTCAAATACCACTCAAACGCCCACGATGCTGTGGAGGGGACATATGCTGATGATCCTGGCCCGATTGGTTCGCTCAGAAAGCTTCTGGGCGGTCGTTAAGGTTCGCTCCCCGCACACCGGCCCGGAACAACGCGGATGGAAGTATGTTACATCATAGCACACCGGCCGGAAGTATGGTACCCTAGACGGACATGCCCAGAGCCTAGACGCGCTAGAGTGCGTCACATCCCCGTTTCCCGCGCGTTCAGGTCCGTAGCGCCTGTGCGCCCGCCGCGCCCAGCCTCGAGCCCTCAGGCAAGGCTTGCACAGGCCGAGGCGGCGGCAGAGAGGGAACTAAGGGGGCCAGGCGCGGCCCTCCTCCCGGGGTCGGTGGAGAAAGCTCAGGCGCCGCGCCCGAGCCCGCCGCCCAGCCTCGAGCCCCCCGACTTGCGCTTGTGCAGGAGGTAGAGGTAGACGAGGACCGCCGTGGCGGGAAGGAGGACGCAGAGGACGCCGAGCGCGACGGCCGGCGGCAGCCACCACGGCTCCACGCCGTCGGCGACGGAGTAGAGGTAGTTGAAGGTCGAGATGAGCGCAGCCGCAATCGCCGTCCCGACGAGCGTCACGCCGCGCATCTGCAGGTCGCGCACGCGGCGGATCCGCGCGAGCACGAGGTTGATCTTCTTGCGGTAGCGGTAGCCGTTGGCGCGGATGTGGCCGCCGGTGTCCTTGCTGAGCCGCGCCTGCGTGCGAGGCGGGGAGGGAGGGGGCACGCTGTCGCGAGGGGCTGTCTATGAATCGCGCCGTGTAGCAGGGCAATCCGGTCTCAGTCGCTATTGCGGTCGCAAGAGGAGAGGAGAGGGCGAGTTCTGTCTAGCAGCGCGCCAGGATGTCGGCCGGCGCGTCGCCCTCGATGTCGAAGAGCGCCTTGGCGGCGCCGAGCGCGTCGAGCACCTAGCGAACGGAATAGGGCAACCGAGTCAGTTGACGCAGTTGAACGGAAGAGCGGCCGGGAGAGGGAGTAGTGGCGCGAACCTTCTGGTCGCCCGCGATGCAGTCGATGACGGCGATGCCGCGCTGAACACTGATCTGGCGCCGCAGCTCGAGGATCGACATCCAGGTTGACGCCACGTCCTTCCATGTGTCCTTCAGCACGGCCAGCTCCTTTTTTTAAAAATTGGGGTGGGGGGGGGGGGGTGAACGCTACGAGATATCATTGACTTGCACACAGATGCTCGGCAGATGCGCGCCTCGAGCTTCTCGAGCTTATCGAGCAGGTACGTCAGCTCGCTGTCGTCGACGTTGAGCTGCGGATCGGAGGCATGCAGTTAGAGGGGGAGCCGTGTAAATGCTAAGATATGGGGGTGCGGGCCTGGATCGGGCTTCGGCGGAGGGCCAGCCGCAGCATGTCGAAGCTCCCTTGGAAGCCGCCGGCGCTGACCTCGTACTTTGTCGCGGCGCTGAGGACGGACTTGACGACGCGGCTCTTGATGCTGCCCTCGCCGAGCAATTTGAGCAGCTTCTGGTTTGCGGCGTCCCCAACTTTGGCGACCTTCGCCGCGAGCGACGTCTCCATCTGCTCCGCCAGCTTCAGCTGCTCGGAGGCGACCTTGCTCAGCTTCCCGAGGACCACGCCTAATAATAAGAAACAACAGAGCTTCGTTCATGTTCTCAGCTCTGTCACTACATCGACCTTTCTACTCGATATATCGGGCGCACGCTGCGCTTACCGCAGCGGCCGAGCAGGAACTTGGACACGAGCTTGCCGATCCCCTCCTCAATCAGCACCGTCTCGAGATGCTTCTCGAGGCGGTTGGCGATAGCCGTGAAGTCGCTCAGCCCGAGCTCGACGTCTTCGACGTGCAATGACAGCGTCTGAAGGGTGTCCGAAACAACCGCCTCGGCAGACTTCTCGAGTGCCGGCAGCATGGCATGTGCCTCCTTGGCGATCAAGCGCAAGAGCTCTCGGAGAATCGCGCCTGTTGCCGCCTCAGCCTTCGGGTTCTCCTCCTCCTCCCCCTCCTCCTCCTCCTCCTCCTCCTCCTCCTCCTCCTCCTCCTCCTCCTCCTCCTCCTCCCCCTCCTCCCCCTCCTCCTCCTCTGCCTCCTCTGCCTTCGCCGCCGCCTTCTTTGCCTTCGCCGCCGCCGCCGCCACCGCTGCCTCCTCTGTCTCCGCCGCCCTCGCCGCCGCCGCCTCCACCACCTCCTCGGTCGCCGAGGGGACCAACTGCGCGAACTTGCGCAGCAGCACCCTGAGCTGCTTCGGTGATTGCTTGAGCTCCTCCAGCAAACGCGCACGCAGCGAGGCCGAGGGAACACTCTCATCGGTGCAAACAGACAGCAGCGGCTGCAGCAGGTCCGACACGAGCAAGCACACGAGCTTGCGGGCGGCGTCGCAGAGGAACTCCTCCGGCTTGTCGCAATTCCCCGCGTTTAGCACGATGACGCAGCCGCTCAGCGCAGCGCGGAGCTTGCCGATGATCTCCTCCACGAGCTCGAGCGCCGGCACCGCTGCCTTCACGAGAGCCGTCACGCCCGTCTCAAGCGCCTTGTCGACGATGTCCGTGGCCGATTCCTGCTGCTCCTCCTCGTCGTCGTCGTCATCGTCGTCGCTGTCGTCGCTGCCGTCGTCGCTGTCTCCGGCGAGCGCCACGTGGAGCCCCTTCACGGCGTGCGTGCCGACCGCCCGCACCCGCCACGCCCGCGCAAGCTTCGGGGGGCGCACCTCGGGCGGCTTGAAGGGCGAGAAGGTGGCGCCGATGAGCTTGACGCCGGTGAGGACGGCGCGCGCAAACTTCGCCCCGCGCATGTCGGCGCCCTCGAGGTTGGCGCCGGCGAGGTTGGCGCCGGTGAGGTTCGCCCCCTCCAGCTGCGCCCAGCGGAGATCTGCCCCCTGCAGCTGCGCCTCGTGGAGATCTGCCCCCTGCAGCTGCGCCCCGCCGAGATCTGCCCCCTCCAGCTGCGCCCCGCGGAGATCTGCCCCCTCCAGCTGCGCCAAGCGTAGATTTGCCGCCTGCAGCTGCGCCCCGCAGAGAACTGCCCCCTGCAGCTTCCCCCCCTCTTCGAAATTTGCCCCCTGCAGCTGCGCCATGCCGAGATATGCCCCCTGCAGCTGCGCCCTGTGGAGACATGCCCCCTGCAGCTGCGCCCTGTAGAGATACGCCCCCTGCAGCTGCGCCCCGGTGAGATCTGCCCCCTCCAGCTGCGCCTGGTAGAGATTTGCGACGCGCACCGACTCGCCCGGCTCGTTCCGCAGCGCCTCGCCCCACACCCCCCACGCCTCGCCCAGCGCCTTCCCCTCCTTCCCCTCCACCGCCAGCAGCACGACGCCCTCGGACCCCTCCACGTTGTCGAGCTTCACCTTGCGCAGGTCGGCGTACATCAGGTTGGTGCCGGCCAGCTTGGCGCCAGAGAGGACGGCCGCCCGCCGCTCCTCCGCCCCCTCCTCGGCCGGCTTGAAAAAAGCACGCTTCCTCCGCCACGCCTCCCACGCCTTGCCTAGCGCCGCTCCCTCGAGGCCCTCCACGTCCGGCGGGTTGAGGACATGCCCCTCCTGCAGCACCGCCCCCGGAAGCTGCGCCCCGCGGAGGTCTCGGCCCTCCAGTTTCACGCCTCGCAGGTCCGCCGGCGGCCGCACTTTTAGCGTCAGTGGCCGCACTTCCTCCAATAAGCGCTCGAGTTCGTCCGGGTCATTAGCGAGCAGCTCGCTCACATCCCTTCCGTTGAGCGCAAGGAGAACCGACATCCGAGGCACGCCCTGCTCGAGCGCTGCGCCCTCAACAGCCTCGACGAATACAACCTTCCCCTCGGAAGACACGCCCGGCTTGATGCCGAAGTCCCCGGCCTCTTCAAAGGTGAAGCTGCGCGGCTCGCTAAGCGGCAAGCGCTGCACGTCCTGCCCCGCCGGCTGCTCGCCTCCCGGATCCGCCTCGGGCGGACGCCCAGGCGGACGCTCGGCGCCGGACCCGAGCGGCTCTGCTCCGGCGGCCGCCTCGTCCTCGCCCGCCGCCGGCCTTGCTCCGAACAAGCCGAACATGTGCTCGGCGATCGCCTTTTGCAAGGAATAGACGCTGCGCCAAAGAAATAGACGCGCGCGTTAAATTTCCTCTTCCCTTTGCTCCAAGTGCCCCATTGGATTTTGAACGAGTGGGCGGTGCAGGCTGTCTGTTTACAGGCGCCGTCCGCCCGCGCGCGCGCCGACCCAACTCCGAGCACGCTCGCTCGCCGCTGGGCGGCGCGCGTCCACACTGCGTCGGCAACACGACGAGAGAGAGAGAGAGAGAGAGAGAGAGATCAGAGCGAAGAGATACAGATTTCGGAATCAGACTCGAGCGGATGTGATGAGGAGGTGGAGATGTGGAGGCGGGTTGGGCATAGGACAGGCAGGAAGAAGGCTAAGGTGGGCAAAGGAGCGAGAATTTCAGATTCAGAGTGGGGTCAAGGCAGTCATTCAGTCAATCAGTACTTGAGTCAGTCGGTCAATCAGTCGGTCAGTGGCGAGCAGAGAGAGGAAGTTCAGATGGAAGTGGAGAGGGGAGGTGATAGCGAGGGAGCGGGGAACGGTGGGGGGAGTGGGATCGATGGAACGGAGTCGAGAGGCGACATGGTGGGAGGAGGGAGCTATGCTGAGGAGGACGACGAGCTTATGCTGGAGTACATGGGGAACGAGGGCGTGGGCGACGAGGAGATCGACAGGTTCATGGGGTGGACGACGGTGGATTCTCGAAGCGAGAGTTTGCAGCAAGCTAGGAGGGCAGGGCCGAGCGTGGAGAGACGGACTGGGGTGGAGGAGCGAGGAAGTGCCGGACGAGGAATGGTGGCAAAGAAGAGGGAGCGAGACAACAAGTATGCGGCGGTGAGGGACAAAGAACGCGAGGGTGGACGGTCGGGTGGAGGTGGAGGATCAGGTATGGACAAATAAGGTGAACTACGAGGTAATGGGCGTGGTGAAGTACGAGGACTGGGGGGGGAGGGGGTTCGATCAGGCGACGGAGGACTGTGGGCCATCGCGGGAACGGACCCGCCCGGAGGGCGCGTTCGGTAGATCCGGATGGTCTTCACACCGGTGGGTGGCACCGAGGCGTCGTGGGGACGCTCTTCTGTTCAGTCGACGCTCGTCGTCCACTGAGAACTCATCCTCAGAAGCCGTCGCCCCCACCACAGAGGAGCAGTTGTCACACGACTCCCACTTCGGCGCCCACCCCACCCCACCTCAACATCCCCACCCCACCCCGCCCCACCGCGCCCCGAGCAACCCCGACCCGACCCGACCCGACCCAACCCGACCCACCCCGCCCCGCTCCGCCCCGCCCCCGCAAAAAGAATTTCACTGGCAAAGTCTCTCTGAGTCTCACAGTGTGTGCGCAAAAAGAATAAAGAAACAGGAACTGTCGCTCGAGCCAAGCAAGGGCGATGCGCAAACATTTTTTCGGAGATATGATAACTGAGCGACTCGAAAGCCGAATGCGCGCGCGTGTGTTTGAGTTTGAGAGAGATTTTTAAAGACCAACAAGAAATCACGACTATCACAGTGATTTGAGCTCGGCAGCTTGTTAGCCCTCAGCCGAAGCTGGGGCCGGTCCCGTAGCCGAGAGAGCCCGCGCCGATGAGTTCGACGCGGTCGGGGGGGCCTGCGAAGAGGCCAGCGAGATGGCGATCGCTGTACTTCATGGTGCCCTCGGTGGGGCGGCTGACAAGCCAGAGGTCGATACTCTGGACGACCCATAGGATGCCACGAATGCCTGAAGGAGAGGGAGGCGAGGCCAGAGGCAGGCTCAGCTGCTCTCGGGTGATCCCGCTTTGGTGGCTGAAGGACCCGATGGTCCTGTCACATTCGCGTTCCGAGTCGTGGGGGTAGAAGAATTCGAGTAGAAATCGAGTCAGCACATCCTTGTAGTACAGCGGACCGCCAGGCTGCCGGAGAGCTCAACAGCTGCGGCCGCGATGGCAGAGTCGGCCGCGGTTCGAGCGAGCAGCTTTTGGCTGCGGGATCGAATCGCGGAAGGCTCATGCCCTCGCGGAGCGCGCGGGTGTGCGAAATGCGACAAAAGACGAAAGACGACAGGCGCTGAGCGCTGTACGCCTGAACTTTTGTCGCCGCAATCGCCACCGCCGCCATCTTGACGAGCAGCGCGAGCGCGCTCGTCGGCGGCCAGCCGTCGCGGGCCGGGCCGAGCCCGGCCTCAACCGGCCGCGCCGCCGCAGCAGGCCCGGAGGCCCACATGGCGGCCGACCAGCTGATAAGGAGGTTCTTTTCTCTTGAGTTTGTGTTTGTTGAGCAACGCACGCGGCGGCGGAGGAGGCGGTCGAGGGGCGACACCACCAGGGATGGAATCACGCGCGCCCCCATATTTGCCTTCGGCTGTTTTTTTTTTGAGCTTAGCCTTCGATGTTATGAAACAAACGCAAGGCGGACATGGCATATCGCTCTCGGGCCCACAGACATCCCGCACACTCGCCGCACACCCGCCGCCCCCGCGCGCGCCCCGCCCCGGCCGGGAGAAAGGGGAGTGACAGTTTGGGATGGCAACAGAACGAGTATGTTGAGTCCTGGCTCAACAACGCAGAGTAAAGGACTTGGGTGGTCCGGCCCACAAGTGCGGCTCACTTTTTTTTTCACAGTGCGGTGGCCTTGTGGGTGGCTACGTTCCGGCGAGTGCCAGCCGATGCTCCACTTCAGCGGCGCTGAGGACCTCCGCCAGCGCGTCGTGCTCGCCACCCTCGCGCGGCGGCAGATCCGCATCACCGGCATCCGCGCCGAAGCGGTGGCCGGCGCGGAGGAGGGCGCCGTCGGGCTGTCGGACGCCGAGGCGTCCTTCTTGCGGCTTGTGGAGAAGGTGGTGGACGGGTGCGAGATCGCTATCAACGAGACGGGCACCGAGCTCCGCTACCGGCCCGGCATCCTCGTCGGCGGCGCGGGCCTCGTCCACGACTGCGGAAAGGCGCGGGGCGTCGGCTACTTTGTCGAGCCGCTGCTCGCTCTCGCGCCCTTCGCGAAGCGCGACCTGCAGATCACCTTCCGCGGGCTGACGAACCACGCTCACGACGTGGGCGTCGACGTGCTCCGCTCCGCCTCCCTCCCCCTCCTCAAGCGGTCCGGCCGCATAGATGCGGCGTGGCAGAGATCCTCGCATTCCAATGCGACCGCGATAGGACGCGCGTATCCAACCGCCTTGCAGCTGTATTCGCTGTGTGTCGATCCCCCGTAACTCACGCGGTGCTCCGGAGAAGGCATCAAGAGGCCTGTTCGTCGACCCCTCGCTCGTCCTCTTTGGCGCAGGTTCGGCATCGAGGGCGAGATGGCGCTGCAGGTGGTGCGGCGGGGGGCGCCGCCCTCAGGCGCCGGCGACGGTGGCGCTGAAGCTGCCTGCGAGGCGGACGTATCATGTTATGTGACAGTATATCTGACCAGGCGTTGGCGAGGTGGTGCTGAAGCTGCCTGCGGTGCGGACGCTGCACCCGCTTCACCTCACCGACCCGGGAAGAGTCAAGCGGGTGAGGGGGCACACCTCGGAGACACTTCCTGGACACTTTCGAGACACTTTCGAGACACTTTCGAGGCACTTTCGAGGCACTCTCGAGGCACTTCCGAGACACTTCCGAGACACTTTCGAGTACACTTTGCAGACACTTTCCAGACACGTCCGAGACACGTCCGAGACACTTCGGACTGGCGCGTGCCTCTCTTCACGGCGGTGAGCGTGAAGAGACGCCGTTCACAGGGCTCGCGTTAGCAGTCAGTAGTTCATCAGGCAGGTGAGAGGTTAGAGTCACTAACAGGTCAGAGGGCTCGCGTTAGCAGTTAGTAGTTCATCAGGCAGGTGAGAGGTATGAGTCACTCACAGGTGAGAGGGCTCGCCTATGGCTCGCGTGTCTCGCCGCAGATCCTGGCGCGCGTGGTCGAGGCGGCGAGAGGCGAGATCGAGCCGAGATCGAGCCGAGATCGAGCCGTGGTCAAGCCGAGATCGTGACGAGATCGTGATCAAGCCGAGATCTGTCCGAGGCCTAGCTGAGACCGATCCGAGATTGTGCCGTGGTCAAGCCGAGATCGAGCCGAGATAGGGCGCAGCTCACCCGAGCGCGGCGCGAGGCCAGGCGTGCTCAACTCGTACTTGCCGGATGTGTGGGTCTACACGGACGCCTCCGGGGGGAAGGAGGCGAGGGGGCGGGCTACGCGGTCCGCCTAAGGTGTGAACGGCGTCTCTTCACGGCGGCTCGGTGTGTGAACAGGCGGGGGCGGGCTACGCGGTCTGCCTCGTCGCCGAGTCGACCAACGGAGTGCTCCTTGCTGCGGAGGCGACGGGCGGCGGCGGTGCGAGCGGCGAGGGGGTTCGGCCCGAGGTGTGAACGGCGTCTCTTCACGGCGGTTCGGTGCGTTGGAACACAGGCGCGGACCCCGAGGAGGTTGGCGCCGCCGCCGCGTCGCAGCTGATGGAGGAGGTTGTGCAGGGGGGCGCGATCGACGCGGCGCACCAGCCGCTCGCGCTGCTGCTGATGGCGTTTGGCGCGCAAGACGTCTCGCGGCTCCGCACGGGCCCGCTCTCCCCCGCCGCCGTGTCGCTGCTGCGCGGCCTCGACACCTTCCTCGGCGTGCGCTGCCACATGACGACCGAGCCCGCCGACGGCTCCGTCCTCGTCTCGTGCCGCGGCGTCGGCTTCTCAAACGCCGCGAAGAGTGTGATCTGAGTCGTCGTTGGACAGTGCCGTATCGTCTTCGTGCATACGGCTTTATCGCTTACACAAGTAAGTGCCACGCCGCGGCGGCAGCCGGCACGAAGAACGCCAACAAAATCATTTCGCGTGTGAAGTGTAACCCACCTCTCGCGGCAGCGGCCCCGTCCGACTCACTCGCCTCCATTCTCCTCCTGCAGCTTCGGGTGTGCAAACATCACCGCCGACGAAGCCGCCGGCGGCGGCGGCGGCGGCATGGGCTGCGCCGGAGCCGCCCCCTCTCCGTCGTCCGCGGCAGCATCCGTCGCCCCGCCTGCCCTGCCCCCAGCCTTGCACTGCCAGCACTCCTTCGAGCGCTGAAAGTTCCTAAGAATGGATGATTGATTCTTAATGGCTGATAACTAATCAGCCCCGACTCCTTCGAGCGCTGGAGGGCTCCAGGACGCGCAGCGGTCGCAGCGCCAGTCGCCTCGCTCCGGGTCGTACCGCCCCTTGAGGTGGTCTGGCACCTTGTGCCTGTTCATAGTAATTAACCATGAATCAACTGCTAATTAATAGTCGAGGTGTCTGTAGCCCGGCTTGGGGAAGTGTCTACAAAGTGTCACGACGTGCTCTGGACGTGTCTAGGAAGTGACTAGGGAGTGTCTAGGAAGTGTCCAGGAAGTGCCTAGGAAGTGTCTAGGAAGCGCCTGTAGGCAGGGTGCACGCCCGGCGCGGCAGGCGCGTCTCCCCCATGGATGCCGCTGCCGAACCAGTCTGACGGCGTGATTGCCATCTGGCGGTGCGCCTCGACCTGATTAAGCGAGGGAGGGGTCATTCATCAGTGTGAGATGCCATCTGACGGCGCGCTTCGACTTGATCAAACGAGGGCGGATAATTAATGACAGTGAGATGCCATCTCGCGTCTCGACTTACGGAGTGCGCGCGGGCGGAGGTCTGGCTGAGGCTAGTCTCTCGGCTGTCTCTCGGCTGTCTCTCGGCTGTCTCTCGGCTGTCTCTCGGCTGCATCTCGGCTGCCTCTCGGCTGTCTCTCGGCTGCCTCTCGGCTGTCTCTCGACCTTGTCGTCGGAAGTGAAGCGGTTGTTTCGGTCGGCGGCGTCCTGCATGCCGCTCGTGTAGAAGCCGACCTAACCAACCACTCCGCGTGTGAAACTGGTGCGGTGTGTGAACTGCCGTCCTGTCCATTATTCGTGTAGAAGCCAGCCTGATTCACCACTCCGTGCGTTAATAGGCGATGCTACATGGAAGTACAGGGATAGTATGGTGTGGGGATGTCATCGAAAGAGAGATACGAACAGGGTATGCTGCAAACAATACGGTAGTACAGGGATAGTATAGTGTGGGGATGTCATCGAAAGAGAGATACGAACAGGGTATGCTGCACACAATACGGTAGTACAGGGGTAGTATAGTGTGGGGGCACGTGCAGATGCCAGCCTGCTGCCCCGCCGCCGCCGCCGCCATCTCCGCCGCGCTCGGCTCTATCCGCGGCGCGACGACCGGCGCGGGCGGCTCCTGCCCTTCCTCGCCGTCAGGGTCAGCGTACACAGACGCCGCCGCCACCTGTTGGCAAGCCGTGCAAATGTGAAGAGGCGCCGTTCACACACTCGCCGCCGAAGCTGAGCGAGCGGCCAACCTGCTCACAACCGCACAGGTGTGAAGAGGCGCCGTTCACACGCAAGCCGGCGTGCACACTGACGCCGCCGCAACCGTGGCCGGCGTCGGCAGCATCGCCCGCTCGCGAAGCTTCTCCTCCCGCGCCTAAAGAAGGAGTGCCCCACGCCCCGATTAGACAGAGGAGGCGGCGAGGCCCTCGCGACGCTTCTCCTCCCGCGCCGCCCGCCGCCGCGCCGCCTCCTCCTCGGTTTCGCCTGGCAGAACCAACACCTCGAGACTCAACAGCGAACTCCATCCGCCGCGCCGCCGCCGCCCTCTCCGTCGCACTCACCGCTCAGCGCGTTGCCAGCGTAGCTCGTCTGCGTGCGCTGCGCCTGCGGAGAAGGTTCCGAGAAGCGTCCGGGCGGGCGGCTGCCAAAAGAAGGAAGGAACGCGTGGCTGTTGGGTCGTCAGCGGCGCACCTCCGCACGCGCCTGCGCCTCCGCGTTCTTGCGCCGCTTCGCCTCCACGTCAAGTCGGCAGACCATCGCCTCCTCCGCCCGGCCTATCGGAAGGTGCATGGAAGGTGCAGAGAAGGCGCCTGGAAGGCTCATGGAAGGTTCCGACAGGCGGCAGGGCGAGGGCGGGGGCGGGGGCGGGGGCGTAAGAGGCGTGCAGGAGAGGCACGGCAGCGACAGGGAGGGAGGTGCACTGGACACAAAAGAGACCGTAGCAGTGGCAGGGAGGCGCCGGGCGGGGGCATGCGAGGCATGCGACTCGGCCGACTCCCGCACCGAGCTTCTCGAGCGCCGCGAGGTGCTTCTTCCCTGAGAGGTGGGCGTCGTAGACGCTCTGCTTGGCGAAGCGCTTGCCGCACGGGACGCAGTACGGCCCGATCGCCACCAGCAGCTCCCCGCGGTCCAGCTTGTCCTGCCGGTCCTTGGCCTCCTTCTTCCGTGCGTCGCCGTGCCAGTCGGGCGCGCGCGAGTCGGGGCCGCGGCGCTTGGAGCCGCCCGAGGGCATCTTGCCGCGCTCGATCCAGTCGGGCTGGTCGCCATCGCCGCCGCCGCCCGCCAGAGACAGGTGCACCTGCACCGTCGCGCCCGCCAGCGCCGCCAGCGGGTCGGTGGGCCGCAGCCGGCGGCCGGCGCCGACGAGGCGGAGGCCAGCTGCGGGCAGGCCCTCGGCGTCCTCGACGCGCCGCGCGAGGCACGCGGCGTCGCCGGACGCCTCGAAGAGGCGAGTGCGCCCGGAGGGGAGGCGCGCGAGGAGCATAACACACGCCGGGAGTCGAGGCCGTCGTTGTCGAGCCGCAGAAAGAATTCTTGATACAAGCCTCTCTCACAGCACACTGGCACGACAAGGGCGCAGATGCAGCTCCGTCTCTCCATGGTGTGGGGGGAGGAGGCAGTACGTAGGCGAGCAGAGATGACGGCGCCCCCGACGTGGCCGACGGAGATGAGCGAGAGGTCTAAGTTCACACGAGAGGAGTACAGGGATCTGCCAGGACCCGATCCTAAGAGAAATGTAGACCACCCAGACTTAGGATATTTGGCGGTAGCAGATCGCAATTGGCCTGGGGGCGAGGAGGGGAAATGCTCCCGAAGGGAGTGGGGTTGGGACATGGAAAGAGGGCCCACTCTAACTCCGGCCTCCACAGAGCAGATGCAGGTGTCTCCGAAACAGGTGGCTGACAATTTTCTCGGGTGGATGGGAGTACTAGGGGATGGGAGAGTAGGAATCGAGGGAAGGATGGAGGGGATGAGCATCAGCCCCTCCCCGAACCCGCCGCAGCATCCCCTGCCGACGCAGCCGAGCCCGCGCCCGCCAATCACTCTCCCACCGTCGCGCGGAGAGACTGGCCCCACCCAGAACAGCACCGAGCTGGAGCACCTAGTCCTAGCTCGCCCTAGCCCTCAAGGGACGCCCGTTCGCTCGACGCCTCGAGAGCCTAGTGGAGGCGGCCCATCGAGTGAGGGGGCGGGAGGTAGCGCGGGAGCCAGTTCAGAGACTGAGGAGAAGCCTAGGGGGAAGAGGCGGAAGCCTACGAAGGGTAGGAGGAGTGGTAAGCAGAGACGAATCGGTCAGAACAAGACAAAGGCTGAAAGGACGGAGGTGGGGTAGCATAACTAGTGGCTGTTGTACAACATTCACATGTGACGCACACACGCGCACGCATGGACACACACACACACACACACACAGGGAAAGACAGACAGAGAGAGAGAGAGAGAGAGAGAGAGAGAGAGAGAGAGAGAGAGAGAGAGAGAGAGAGAGAGAGAGAGAGAGAGAGAGAGACACGCACTGATAGTAACCTCGGGTAATCTCGGGTAATCTTGGGAGATCTCGGGTGATCTGTACCTCGGGTTATCTTGGGTAATCTCGGGTGATCTCAGGTAATATTGGACCTCGTGTAGTCGGGGAGTGTGGGCACTTACACACACACACACACACGCAAACACACACGCACACACGCGCGCACACAAACACAAACAAACACTACTCGCGATCTCGGGCGATATCGAGTAATCTCGGGCAATCTCGGGTAATCTCGGGTAATCTCAGGTAATATTGGACCGCGTGTAGCGGGCGGGAGCGGGCACACACTCACACACAGACACTCACGCAAACACACACACACACACACGTACAAACACACATTATTAGTGATCTCGGGTGATCTCGGGCAACCCCGTGTAATCTCGGGTAATCTCGGGTAATGATTTGATCTCGTGTAGCGAGCCTGAGCGAGCGCGTGCACTCACTCACTCACTCACACACACACACACACACACACACACACACACACACACACGCACACACACACACACACACACACGCACACACACACACACACACACACACGCGCGCGCGCGCGCGCGCACGCACGCACACACACAAACACACACACATTCTTAGTGATCTCGGGTAATCTCGGGCAATCTGGAGTAATGTTGAGTAATCTCAGGGCGTGAGCTCGCGCATGCAAGCGCGCAAACACAGGCGAAGCAAGGGCGCGGCTGCGTGGTTAAATTTAATCATTCATCTTGGGCAACCTCGAGTGATATGAGTTCAAGTAATATGAGTTGACCTCGCGTATTGTATTCCACGTCCTGACCTAATTCATTAAGTAATTAAGTGATTGCGTATTGTATTCCGCTTCGGGTATTCGTAAGTATTCCAGGGGCGGAGGAAGGCGCGGGCGGCGTGGCGGAGCTGTCTCGACTCAGTGCAGTGTACCACCACCCACGCTGTAGATGGACAGAGGAACCAACAGAGCGCAGTGGGAAGGGGAAGGGGGGAGAGGCTGCGAAGGGCGAGGGGGGGTGGAAGGGGGTGGGCAGTGCTATGCCACCTGCCTCGTGCGCACCTCTATTCTGCTCCGGAGTGACTCGCCACCGCCATCCCTGGGCCCACTGGGCAGTCGTGTGAGGGGCCGCCCCCTAGTGGGTCCCCCGACTGACCCGTAAACCAACTATGTTCGGAGCCTGGATAGGGTGTAGGCCGTTCGGAAGGTGGGTCGGGAGGGGATACCCCGCTAGGAATAGTCTCCCCCGACCCCGCCCGCCCGCCCGCCCGCCTGCCCTGCCCGCCTGGCCGATAAGATCTCTTCACCTTCTCATTGGTGGAGTATAGGTACGAGGGTGGTGTGGCATCTCTTGCGGGTCTCGCCAGGGGCGCCTACTAACCTCGCTTGCGAGGGGCGTGTGGCATGTCTGAACGGACTCGTGAGGGGCGCCTGCCAACCTCGCTTCGCCGAAGCGGCGCTCGGTACCCACACCCACCCCGCCGCACTCGTCGCCGGCGCGCGACACGTTCCCGTCGGCTGGACTGCCCTCGTCGAGTGCGTGTCGCCAACCAAGGCGGGACGCACTCAGGGACAGTGCCGGCGGGACGCGGCTCGAGAGGCGGCTCCCGCGGAGGCACGGCTGGCACCTGTGGCGCGGGGCTCGTCTTCGGAAAGACCAGGATCGCTCTACTGGCAAACTTCTGGCTGACACGCGCGCCCGGTCGAGCCTTCGGCGGGCGCGCTGCGGTCGCACGCCTACCCAAGTCATATGCCACGGCGTGCGATCTAGATTCAGCACACGCGCCTCTGCTCGCAACCACTCATCCAATGAACTGTCGTCACCCATGAGTGCGAGTTAGGGCTAGCGGCTGGCCAATAGCCTGTGAGGAGGGCGTCCATAGACACCTCACAAGACCCCACACACGGTCTCGTCCGTGCCTTGCGGCCGGCGACGAGATTGCTAGAGGCGGAGCAAGCCTGCTCTAGTCTCACACGTTCGCCCCTGTCGCCTGTCTGTGTTGTTGTGCTGTTGTTTGTCTCTTGGCACCTTGGAGTGCTGGGGGGGGCGACAGGGGGGACGTGGCCTGAGTGATGTGTACGCCCACTCAGGATGTGTGGCAGCCCGCTGGCTGTGTGTCTTGTGAGCTTGTTTGTGTCTGTGTGTCGCTCGTGCGTGTCGTCATCATCTGTCTTGCGTCCACCCATACCGCGTTGGTGTCCAGTCCGAGCCTGACTGTTCTTCACCTTACTACATACATACATACATACATACATACATGTCATGTACATGTACATGTGAGAGAGAGAGAGAGTTTTGTTGTGTTCGTTGTTAAGGTAGCTGCAAACCCTTGGCGCACGCATATCTTGGATGGCCGGCATGGGGCCTGAGGCGTCGCCCATGCTTGCCATGTGCGAGTAGATGGTAGAATGCACTAATAGGCACGTCGCGCAAGGTCGGGATCGCAAGTTATGCCCGCATCAAGCGCCAGTTCAGAGTCGTCCAGAGTCGTGGCACACACGCCGCGGCAGGCCGTGTAGCCACTGAGATGGCCTTATGACGACCCCATTTCGACATCGTCCCCAAGGCCTCTACTCATGAGCTCCACGCGGGAATGACTGGCTCGACCAACTGATCACAAATTCCCACGATATCTCACAAAGCGCCAAAATTCTTCCTCGTGACAGCATAATTCGACGACTCTGATGTGCAGAGAGAATTTCCGATTCCTCGCTCAGAGGACGCGATTCTCGCGGAGGGTAAAACGCCGGAAGGGGAAGGGGC